CTGAATCAAGGACAAGACTGGTGACTGGACTACAAAATTACAAATTACAAACTAGAATTCATATAGGACGGCTGAATGATTAGAATCAACTTGACCACAAAGAAAGAGGAAAAATTGTAGCAGTTCCCTAGCCTTTTCCAATTTTTATAGATTTTATCATAGCCTTCATTTTGTATTAATAAAGATTCCTAACATTTCATAAATATGCAACTGAAGTCCATTTCGACGGAAATCGTCTACTTTTCCGTTGGTTGACCAAAAAAATGGAAAATTTGATCAATTCTGACCAAATTAAAAAGGATAAAATAGTACTTTACATTTTTGTCATATTAAATAAGTTATTTAATTAAATTAAAAATTAAAAATATAAAAAATAAATATAAATATAAATACCCCACCTCAAAAAGAAAAAAAGAATAAAGATAAATTGTGCCCCACCTCCAAATCCTTCATCTTCAAAATCCTTCATCTTTGCTACTAGTGGCCGAATTTAAAAATTACATCAACAACTGGATTTTATAGTGAATTACTCAAGTTCCATTTGCAGAGTTTTCGGATTATAAGCCACCACGTTTGATGAATTTAGGAGTTAATCCAGAAGTTTCTTGCTGTGCAGAGAAAATGGGCGATGCGGCTGAGTTCGGGTTTTTTCTGTGAAATTGAGCGGGGAATGGGCGGAGGTAATAGAGGAAATTTATGTGAAATTGAGTGGTGGTGCTAGGTTTAACATTCTGTAAAGTTTCTTTTATACAATTATTGGGGTTGTGCTTTCAAAGGCAAATGGATCGTTTTATTTGTGGGGTTTATTGATTTCAACAATTTTTGTGTTATTTGTTGTTGATTTCAACAATTTTTGTGTTATGTGTTAGCCCAAGAATAACTAATCTAGAGAGAGGTGAATTGGTTTTAAAAATTTTTTGGAAAAATTAATCTAAATTCAAGTAAGTAAAGACTAAATAAATTAATTCAAATAATAAGCACAAATATAAAAGTGATTAGTAAAATAGAGAGATTATGCAAACGATGTAATTGTGGAGGTTCGATTCAAAGTAATGATTTACAT